GTTTCATTCTCTTTCGCAACACTCTATATCCACGTACCTGCATGAAACACCGCGTTGAGAGGCGGGATCAAAGAGCCAGAGCTCAACCACCGTAAGCACAAATTGGTGAGTACAAATAGGTGAGTACAGGGTGTGCGTGAGTGTGCCTGAGTGTGAGAGTGCATTAAGTATGAAAGAGTATGTCATAGGGAGTGTGAAAGAGTGTGAGTTTGTGTGTGTGTGTGTACGTGTGTGTGAGAAAAAGTGAGTGTGTGCGAGAGAACATGCTCGAGTGCATGAGTGTGAATGACATAGTGCACGAGAGTCAGTTTGAGAAAGTCTTAAAAGAGTGCGTGGGTAGAAGAGATTGCGTGTGTGTGTGTGTATGTATAATGCATTTGCGTGAGAATAAGGGCTAGTGAGAACCAGAGATACGCGAGTTTCTGACAGAGTGAGTGTGAGAAAGTGTGCGAGTGTAAGAGAGCTTGAGAGAGAGAGAGAGAGAGAGAGAGAGAGAGAGAGAGAGAGAGAGAGAGAGAGAGAGAGAGAGAGAGAGAGAGAGAAAGAGAGAGAGCGCTGGGTCGCAGCAGGTTGGGCAAGAGGTGCTTCGTCAGAAGAACCTTTCTCACCAAAAGCCATTCCAGCAGAGTCGCCATCTGTTCCCCGGAACGAGGCAATCTGGAGGCGCTTCTCGCCGCTTCGTATGCCAATGGGACTGGTCGAGTTACGGCGGTGTTTTGAACCCTGGAGAAGACTGTGGGGAATTAGTGGGAGGCGTCTTCCCCACCCTTCCCCCCTACCCTGCCCCCTCTTTTTCCCTTCCTCCCTCTACCCCTTCCATCTCCCTCTCTTCCCATCCCTCTTCCCCTTCTACCCCTCTTCTCTGAATATTGCCCACTTCTTTTTCACCGTTCCTTTACCCTTCTTAGTTTTTCTCCTCTTCTTTCTTGACCCTCACATCTCTTCCCTTCATAAGCTTCTCCACTTCCCTCCTCCGGTCCCTTCTTCTGTTCCTTTCCACCCTTCCTTTTCACCCTTCCTTTCCACCATTCCTCTCCACTGGAGCTGCTGGGCCATACATGGACTCCTCACCTGTCATGTTTGTTCCAAATTGTCACTAATTCTTGTCCCTCCCGGCATTTCCTGACTGACTTGAACACGAGTTAACCTTTTTTTTAGTAATTATTAGTATTATTGATGTCTCCAGCTGACCTGCAATTATTTGCATGAATTTGGTTTCAACATTTTTGCAGTTACACAAACGTTTTCCAACAATGACAATTACACTGATTCGAATGATTGATAAAGTTATCATGTGCCGTCAAAACAAGGTCGTTAGCTCTATTACATTTACACACAATAATCATCAAATAGTTGGGTTAAGTATGTGATTTGAACTGCCCTAACAAGGGGAGTTCAAATAGTATACTTAAGAGAAGAGAGACAGTTATGTGGCGCACCCGGACAACAAGGCTAATCTCAAGCAAACGAAGCATGGTTAGTCTGTCTCCTATCCTCAGGCCTGAAGAAATAAGGTAATTATCAGGAAGAAAGAATTTTAGGTGTTTCGAATATTCGGATTAGCCCTAAAGAGGGACTTTTCAAGAGCCACACTTAGCTGGCCTTGGTCATACGAGTGTGCAGTATGACCAGTCTGAGGTAGGGGCGTGTTTCGAAACAGGAGGTCAACTAGGAGAGGGTCAAAGCTGTCGTTGGGGGTCCACGATTTCCAACGGAAGCGTATATGAATATACCAAACTTCGAAACTTCGCCGTTGCTCCATTTTCCGATGTGTGGTTTGGTCATCAGAATGAAAGCTAGTAATGAAATATTTGGGGATAGAAAATGGGAGTTGGTGGTGCAAGATCCAAAGACAGAAAATGGGGAGTAGTGGTGCAACACCCAAAGACAGAAAATGGGAGGTAGTGGTACAACACCCAAAGACAGAAAATTGGAAGTAGTGGTGCAACCCCCAAAGACAGAAAATGGGAAGTAGTGGTGCAACCCCCAAAGACAGAAAATGGGAAGTAGTGGTACAACACCCAAAGGCAGAAAATGGGAGGTAGTGGTGCAACACCCAAAGACAGAAAATGGGAAGTAGTGGTGCAACACCCAAAGACAGAAAATGGGAGGTAGTGGTGCGACACCCAAAGACAGAAAATTGGAAGTAGTGCTACAACACCCAAAGACAGAAAATGGGAGGTAGTGGTACAACACCCAAAGACAGAAAATGGGAAGTAGGAACACAAAAACACCTTCAACAATCAGATATGGGAAAGGAAGGAACGGAGAGGAGGGGAGAGGCAGGAGAACAGGCACGAGAACAGAAGAACAGAACAGTGAACAACGGCCCAGAACACGAGACCAGTGTAAGTTACAGCCGCCCGGGTCCCAACTTGCTATTCAATACCTCGTTGTGAATTAAGAAAAATGAAACATTATGCAAAACGAGGAAGCTCCGTGGTCTATTTGATTTACATAAGAGGTCTAAGTAGGTTGGAACAGCAGGAGATACGAGCGAGAGGAGGACATTACCCCGGCGCTCTGGACCTGTACCCACCAGAGGACCTGTCAGCATCTGAACTCCAAATAACTGAAAGTTGAGACAAACTTAAATTTAACTAACAAATTTTGTGTATAATTTAATTATGGCTTATTTTTATTTTTTTAAACTATGGCTTATTTTGTGTATAATTTTATTATGGCTTATTTTGTGTATAATTTAATTATGGCTTATTTTGTGTATAATTTAATTATGGCTTATTTAATTATGGCTTATTATACTCTAATTGAGTATAATATATTGTTCTTAATATATTTAAGCAAGTTAAGCAGCCTAAAGCAAAGTTATTGCTTACATATATTTGACCATGCCAGTATTAATTGAGTTTATTATTATATTTATTTGCTGCTAGGTGAACAGAGGTATCTGGTGTGAGGAGACGCGACCACTCAGCCTTGTCCTGCTTGGGAATCGAACCCGGGACTAATGGGTTGTGGGACCAGTTGTGAGCACCTCAGACACCCACAGCTCTTCACAACCTTCTCCCACCGTATATTGAGGAATGTTGCTGGAACACAAGTCGAGGTTCTCAAGAGGCAATTGAGCACATTCCTGTAGGCAGCGCCGAAATGTAGTGGACACGTGGGCCCGAAGGCCGGGGTAAGCAACAGCCTGACTGATCAAGTTACTCCCAGACTGCGGCTGTGTGTATTGGTAAAACTGGTGACATTGGGCACATTTGACGAGCTCAACAACTCGTCCTTCTGTGATGGTAGAATATATATATATATATATATATATATATATATATATATATATATATATATATATATATATATATATATATATATATATATATATATATGTCGTACCTAGTAGCCAGAACTCACTTCTCAGCCTACTATGCAAGGCCCGATTTGCCTAATAAGCCTAGTTTTCATGAATAAATGTTTTTTCGACAACCTAACCTACCTAACCTAACCTAACCTAACGTTTTCGGCTACCTAACCTAACCTAACCTATAAAGATAGGTTAGGTTAGGTTAGGTAGGGTTGGTTAGGTTCGGTCATATTTCTACGTTAATTTTAACTCCAATAAAAAAAATGACCTCATACATAATGAAATGGGTAGCTTTATCATTTCATAAGAAAAAAATTAGAGAAAATATATTAATTCAGTAAAACTTGGCTTATTAGGCAAATCGGGCCTCGCATAGTAGGCTGAGAAGTGAGTTCTGGCTACTAGGTACGATATATATATATATATATATATATATATATATATATATATATATATATATATATATATATATATAATTACCAGAATAAAGCGCCAAGGCATTATGACTATATAGCACTTGGAAGGGGTCAGGATGAGGATTTGGGATGGGACGGGGGGAAGGAATGGTGGCCACAACCACTTGGACGGTCGGGGATTGAACGTCGACCTTGGAAGGATCCGGACGATAACATAATATAATAATATTAATTCAAATAAATTGGATTTTTATTATAAATAACTAAAATCATTCTGCCTATTAGGCAAATCGGGCCTTGCATACTAGGCCAAGTACTGTGTTCTGGCTGTTAAGTAAATCAGTGAGATGAAGCCTCTTGGCATGGATACTGATAGCTGGTGGGATACCAGCTATCAGTATCCATGGGTAGCTGCAGATATCAGAGGAGAAAAACCTGGGCAGAAAGAGCATATATACCTATTTTCCCCCCAATCTCCGTACGTTTTGATGGGTTACGGACGGTACCGTTGCTCTCTATGTGGACGCTCCATGTGGACTCTCCATGTGGACTCTCCATGTGGATTCTCCATGTGGACTCTCCATGTGGACTCTCCATGTGGACTCTCCATGTGGACTCTCCATGTGGACATGGCATCACCACTACCGGTCAGTGGGAGTAGTGATGGTGTGTCCAGCAGATGTACCTTCTCCCACTTCTCCCACAGGACTCGTAAAATGGGGGGTCAGATCTCGCCCTAGTTTATAGCAGAGTAATTTTTCACGGAGGTCTTTTGATCTGTCCCCTGAGAGGAATTGTGGTGGTGGAGGTGATGATGGGGATGATTGTGGTGGTGATTGTGGTGGTGGTGGTGGTGACGACACTGATAGTTGCAAGTGACACTAGTAGCAGTGGTGGTGATGATAGTGGGGATGTGGTGAAGAAAGCCAGTATAGATAGTGATGGTGGTGACGAGCAATACCTTGTGGTGGTGATAGTGACGGTGGTGGCGGTGAGAGTGGTGGTGGTGTTGATGGTGAGGGTGGTGGTGATGCTGATTGGTGGTGAAGGTGAAGATGGTAGTCGTGGTGGCGCTGAGATCCCTAGTGATGATGATGATGGTGATGGTTGAGAAAGTAATGGCGATGATGAGGACAGTTACAGTGATCAGTAGTGATGGTGAATGAGACGGTAGTGATGATGGCTGAAGAAAATGAATGTGCTGTGATGAAATAGATAAAAGGAAATCGAAGCAAATGAAGATAGCGAGAAAGCTGAACAGAATGGTGATGACGATGAAGATAGCAAGGGATGGTGAAGGCGACGAGAATGGTGAGCATGAGGGTAGTGAAGAGAGCTGGGAAACACATCTCCACCTCCACCAGGAGACAAACCAAACCTCCAACATCTTCCTATTAAATATCTCGGGGAAGACGCCATACCTTAAGTACTGCCTTCATCAGGGCGAGGCAGTGTCCATCAGGGCGAGGCAGTGTCCATCAGGGCGAGGCAGTGCCCATCAGGGCGAGGAATTGTCCATCAGGGCGAGGAAGTGTCTATCAGGGCGAGGCAGTGTCCATCAGGGCGAGGCAGTGTCCATCAGGGCGAGGAAGTGTCCATCAGGGCGAGGAAGTGTCCATCAGGGCGAGGCAGTGACCATCCGGGCGAGGCAGTGTCCATCAGGGCGAGGCAGTGTCCATCAGGGCGAGGCAGTGTCCATCAGGGCGAGGCAGTGCCCATCAGGGCGAGGATGTGTCCATCAGGGCGAGGCAGTGTCCATCAGGGCGAGGATGTGTCCATCAGGGCGAGGAAGTGTCCATCAGGGCGAGGAAGTGTCCATCAGGGAGAGGCAGTGTCCATCAGGGCGAGGCAGTGTCCATCAGGGCGAGGAAGTGTCCATCAGGGCGAGGAAGTGTCCATCAGAGCGAGGCAGTGTCCATCAGGGCGAGGAAGTGTCCATCAGGGCGAGGAAGTGTCCATCCGGGCGAGGAAGTGTCCATCAGGGCGAGGAAGTGTCCATCCGGGCGAGGAAGTGTCCATCAGGGCGAGGAAGTGTCCATCAGAGCGAGGAAGTGTCCATCAGGGCGAGGAAGTGTCCATCAGGGCGAGGAAGTGTCCATCAGGGCGAGGAAGTGTCCATCAGAGCGAGGCAGTGTCCATCAGGGCGAGGAAGTGTCCATCAGGGCGAGGAAGTGTCCATCCGGGCGAGGAAGTGTCCATCAGGGCGAGGAAGTGTCCATCAGGGCGAGGAAGTGTCCATCAGGGACAGGTCCCAGCCATCAGGGACAAGAAGCAACCATCAGGGACATGAAGCAGCCATCAGGGACAGGTCCCAGCCATCAGGGACAAGAAGCAACCATCAGGGACAAGAAGCAGCCATCAGGGACAGGTCCCAGCCATCAGGGACAAGAAGCAACCATCAGGGACAAGAAGCAGCCATCAGGGACAAGAAGCAGCCATCAGGGACAAGAAGCAGCCATCAGGGACAGGTCCCAGCCATCAGGGACATGAAGCAGCCATCAGGGACAGATCCCAGCCATCAGGGACAAGAAGCAACCATCAGGGACATGAAGCAGCCATCAGGGACAGGTCCCAGCCATCAGGGACAAGAAGCAACCATCAGGGACAAGAAGCAACCATCAGGGACATGAAGCAGCCATCAGGGACAGGTCCCAGCCATCAGGGACAAGAAGCAACCATCAGGGACAAGAAGCAACCATCAGGGACAAGAAGCCGCCATCAGGGACAAGAAGCAACCATCAGGGACAAGAAGCAACCATCAGGGACATGAAGCAGTCATCAGGGACATGAAGCAGCCATCAGGGACAAGAAGCAACCACCAGGGACAAGAAGCAGCCATAAGGGACAGGTCCCAGCCATCAGGGACAAGAAGCAACCATCAGGGACAAGAAGCAGCCATCAGGGACAAGAAGCAGCCATCAGGGACAAGAAGCAACCATCAGGGACAAGAAGCAACCATCAGGGACAAGAAGCAGCCATCAGGGACAGGGAGAATCACCTCAAGGGTTGTGGAGTCAGCTCTCCCGCCTCCCGCCGAATCACCATCATAAAACTCTCCCAGGCGTCGTTTCTGCTCGTTTTAAAGTTCTCTTACAAATTAGAGAGGGTCAGGTTTACTGCTGGATTGGTGGGCATCCACACTGGATGTCTCCTAAGGTCAATGAACCGAATGATGTTTGAAGCAGGACAAAAATTAACTCTGCTGATTGGAACATAGTTATGAAAGTACTTGGCGGGTGATTGGAATATAATTATGAAAGTACTTGGCTGCTGATTGGAACATAGTTATGAAAGTACTTGGCGGGTGATTGGAATATAATTATGAAAGTACTTGGCTGCTGATTGGAACATAGTTATGAAAGTACTTGGCTGCTGATTGGAACATAATTATGAAAGTACTTGGCGGCTGATTGGAATATAATTATGAAAGTACTTAGCTGCTGATTGGAACATAATTATGAAAGTACTTGGCTGCTGATTGGAACATAATTATGAAAGTACTTGGCTGCTAATTGGAACATAATTATGAAAGTACTTGGTTGCTGATTGGAACATAATTATGAAAGTACTTGGCTGCTGATTGGAACATAACTATGAAAGTACTTGGCTGCTGATTGGAACATAGTTATGAAAGTACTTGGCTGCTGATTGGAACATAGTTATGAAAGTACTTGGCTGCTGATTGGAATATAATTATGAAAGTACTTGGCTGCTGAATGGAAAAGGAGAAAGAAGATGTTTGCTTATGTTAGCAGAAGAAAAACCTGTCTGCTGATTGGGTTAAAAATAAATTCTCAGTTAATTGGGCGAAAAAGACTAGACTGTTGTGTGGATCGGATAAAAACAGATTTTAATATACTTATTTAATTGTTTATTTATTTATTATGCATATACAAGAAGGTTCATTGGGATTGTGAGGATACATAATATGGTAATTACAATCTTGTAAAGTCACTAGTATACTTTGTGAAGAATATTCTGCAGAAACTATCCTTATACATTGACCCGGAAGCTTCCTTGTTTGGTATTCTCACCCACTCCGGTTCCAGTCTTCATAACTTTGCGTTTTGTTGGGTTAAATTCTAGCAGCCATTTTAAGGTTACTTCTGGAGTGTCCAAGTCCCTTTGCAAAGTATTCACACTATCACTCTCCTGAGTACATTATTATCCACACTTCCGTGGAAATAGATATTCCGTTCACCTGGGCTCTAGGAGCCTCGAACCGGGGGCCGAAGCTCTAGTGACTGAGCTATGAGTAGTCATAACAAGGAAAGATTGTATAATCAAATACTGAGCTGTAATGGTCAAATTTCCCTGTTGGGCCACTAATTCCTTTGGGTTTTACTAGTAATCAGCAGGAGCCTCAGCCTGATTCTCTAGTCTAAGTCTCGCGTCTCATGTACGGGAGAGTATCGAATGCCTTCTTACAGCCCAAGAATATGCAGTCTACCCATCCTTCTCTCTCTCTCTTGATAGATATCCGGCATCGTACTGTGGAACTCCAGTAAGTTTGTTGGAGTTGAAACAAAAGCTAGCTATTCTAAATGTTTTAGTAGCGTGTGTGTGCGTGCGTTTTTGCGTTTTTGCGTGTGTGCGTGCCAGCGTGCGTGCATGTGTATGGGTCCTACATAGGTTATATACAGATCCTGGAATGCTTCTTCGTCCACATCATCTGAAAGCCACTAGAATACTAGTCAATTTGACATATGTCTTTGATACGTTTTTTTTTAACGTGTACTTCTGCTAATAGATAGATATATAGGATCAATTATACTGCATTATAAAGACTTGCAATATAAGGTCTTGCTGTGCCTGGTGCTCTCCTCACAGCTGACATCTGGCACCTACCCTTTGGGGGGATATTTACGCACGCTATGTCACACTTTTACATGGGTGTCTCGGTCTTATCTAGTTCACTGTGGGAAAAGGGTGTTGTTGGTCATGTAGACACGACCAACTGTCAGTCTATGGTGATTCCCGTTGTGGTAGTTGCTGATTTTTTTCCAAGATGTTGCTTCATCATTAGTTTGTCTAGGCCGGATATGTCGTACCTCCCTGATTCATCCTGTCTTGCTCTTCCTCCTCCTCTCCCCTTCTTCCTCCTCCTTCTCACCCCCCCCCCTTCCTCCTCCTGTATCTCCCCCTCCTCCACCTGTCATCCTCCTCCCCTACCACAGTCAGCGTAGGGATCTAATGGCTCGGTCACTTTCCGTCTCCCTCCCTACATCTCTCAATCTCTCCAACCCCTTTCATCCATCTCCCCGGCTGTCTCCTCCACCACACACACACACACACATACACACACACACACACACACACACACACACACACACACACACACACACACACACACACACACACACACACACACACACACACACACACACACACACACACACACACACACACACGCACGCACACACACACACACACACACACACACGCACGCACGCACGCACACACACACACATATGGGGTCACCACTAACGCATGATCACCTAATCAGTATGCGAATGGATAGCGGCACCGCTTTTCCCCCTTTCTCTCTCCCTCTCCCTCCTTCTTTTCCCCTCAGCCCCTTCATGTCACCCTTCCCTCTCCGATCCACCCTTCATCTTCCCTCCTGGTTGCTGGTCTTCAGCTGGTCAGTCACCTCATGTCTTTCATCCTCTTACATTCTAATCCAAATTCAACTTTATTCATCAAATCATTGTTTTCCTCTCTCTCTCCATTCACCCCCCGTTCTTTCTCTCTCCCCATTCATCGCCCTTCTATTCACTCTCCTTCTCTCTCTCCCACCCCCCTCTATCCACAACCCCCCTTCCACCACCATCCACATCTCGTGGCCACTGCTCGTCTTCTCTGGTGGATGCTGGAGGCGCGGGTGGCGGCGGTGATGGCGTCTCCCCCTCACCGCAAATCAGATGAATCGGGTTACCCCGTGTTTGTTTATGGATAGTCCTGGTGATGGTCCTGGTGATGGTCCTGGTGATGGTCCTGGTGATGGTCCTGGTGATGGTGATGGACCCGGTGGAGGGGGGCTGAGTATGTGAGTAACTTCTTACTCGGTGTGTGGGTAATTTACTGAGTGTTTATTTTATTTATTTATTATGGACCCCGAGACTCATCCCTTAGGTGGTAAAGATTAGAGGGGTACATAACGGTCTCAGGAACTGAACCCTATTGTTCATTTAGCTGTGTAACAATCTTGTGAAGCTAGTTACACTGTTTAATATATGTGTATACATATGTATACTTTAATACTTAACAAAAGCCCCAATAAACAGTACAACCATCTCCAAAAAGCCAACGTGGTATACTAATTTACATGTTCCAATGGAGCATGTCACCTGCGATCTTCTGTTAATTAGTATGACCACCCCTATGCTTTCGAGAAGACTGACCTGCCATCTACAAGCTGGTGCTTCCTATAAACAATATGCAGAGTGTGCATAACACAACACTCACTAGGAACATGCTGGTAGATAAATACGACAATCCTGGTAGCCACTACTGATCAGAGAAGTTCGCAAATACTGGAAGCTATTCAGATAAAATAAAAAAAGACCCACCTTAAATCTTCAGAGATAATGACTGATACCTTGCCTACTCTCAGGCCCAGATCTCACCAAACAGCATCGGGTAACGAGAACTTGGTTGAGATAACGACATCTCTACCGAGTTCTCTTCCCTGCCCATCGCCTTACCCAGTGTGTGCACATGGCATCCATTTCCCATTATTTCCCTGTTTCTTACCTTATGATTGATTTCCCCTATATTCCTTCGACTTATTTACCCCATACCACTTCACCTCTTCCACATGTGTATTTAAGATAAATTTACATCTTGTGAATTCATGCCGTACCTGAAGATGTTCCAAAGTGGAAAGAAACGTTGTTGAAAATAAACCCGTTTTTAATCCCGTTTTTTCTTAATTAGTTCTTCTTAATCCCGAGAGTAAGAAAAGAGTTAGATGCATAGAAAGCTTATACTATAAGATCACCAACGCATCCAATGGACGCTGGCAGTAGTGAGTTTACAGTCGTGCATGTAATACCTCGAGCAAGCACGCTGTAGGTATTTGGCTAAGATTTCTGGAAGTATATCATTTCGAATGAAATACTTCCATACTTCTTGATCTGTAATAGACAGAGTTCTCTCTGAATTCTGAGATTTTTTAAACACATTCAATTGCATAGTGACGCAAAGTATGTGAATAGTTCAGCTAACACTTTTCATTTGGTTCGACTCATTTCAGCAGGTGGGGGAAACTCCTAGAACAGCCTAGTAGTAGTAAAGTCCAGATTATAGTCCACTATAACCTTACTGGATTATAGTATGATGATAGATGGAATGATTAGTGTAAATTTCACTTTGGCTCAGGTCTGTTAACATTGTTTTGCAGTTAATTGATACTGCCCGAAGGCTACTTAAAGGCAATCAACTTCCTCTTCAAGAGCACATGTTTTGTCCAATACACATAACGTATCGTGTGTGTATGTGTGTGTTCCAACACCCCAGGAAGCAGCCCGTAACAGCTGTCTAACTCCCAGGTACCTGTTTACTGCTAGGTAACAGGGGCATCATGGTGAAAGAAACTCTGTCCAATTTGTTTCTCGCCGGCGCCGGG